GTCAGCATGCTTAATATTATAAAAGGCCATCAAAGTAGTGAATGAATTGGGCTTCTATATCTTTGACCTTTCGGTATACATTGTGACCGAAAAGTTTCCGGAAATTTTAAATAAAAAAACGCAAAATTCTTTATCTTCATCAATATTTATTTTATCTCCTTCAAAATATGCTCCATTAGAAGCGATACACAAATGCCAACGTTTCTTCCAATCATCAAAACATTTTTTATAGGCGCTTTCCGGTATGGCTTTGAGTTTCCTCTGCGAATTCTGTTTTACGTCTTCTATGGATTCAAAACGCGTTCCTCTGAGTGGTAATTTGAGTTTGGGAAACAGGAAAAAGTCACACGGTGCAAGATCAGGTGAATACGGGGGCTGTTCGATGGTATTTATTGAATGTTTGGCCTTAAAATCGTTGATAATGTTGGCTCGGTGCGAGGGAGCATTATCGTCATGAAAAATCCATGAATTATCCTTCCACAATTGAGGCCGTTTACGGCGGATATTTTCACGCAAACGTCTTAAAACAGTCAAATAATAGGCTTTATTGACTGTTTGTCCTTCAGGGACGAATTCATGATGCACCACACCACGAATATCGAAGAAAACAATCAGCATTGCCTTGATTTTCGAGCGACTTTGGCGTGGTTTTTTCGGTTTCGGCTCGTCTTTTCCTCTCCATTCCGATGATTGTTGGCTTGTTTGCATGTCGTACTCGTAGACCCATGTCTCGTCACCCGTTATGATGCGTTCCATGAAAGTTGGATCGGAATTGGCACGATCAAGCATGTCTAACGAGACCTGTCCACGATGGTGTTTTTGGAACAAATTGAGGTGAATCGGAAAAAGCCGAGCGTTGACACGTCGCATACACAAATTGTCCACCAAAATCAAACGAGCCATCTCACGACCGATGCCTAGCTCTCGTGCTATCTCTCTAACACTCACATGAGGATTTTTGAACACGATTTCCTTTGCCTTTTCAATGTTTTCGTCGGTGGTAGAGGTCGAAGGTCGTCCAGAACGCGGCATGTCTTCGACGGTCGTACGACAGTCCTGAAAGGCTTTGTACCACTCATAAACTTGAGTTTTCGATAAAACTGATTCCCCATAAGCCTTTTGTAGCATTCGCAACGATTCTGCACACGAAAATTCGTTCGAAACACAAAATTTGATGCAAACTCTTTGATCAATATTTTTTTCCATTGTTTTTTTTGCAACGCACTACTGAGGTGAACTGGTTTCAACAGCTGCCGTAAACGAACTGTCTGACAGATCGCGCTCATTTTTGGCATAGTAATTAAGGACAGTGCTGCCAAACTATATAAACTTAAAATATCGAAAAATATACAGCGCGCGAATTTTAAATGAGAATTTCCGAAAACTTTTCGGTCACAATGTATATTTTCAAAGAAATGATCTCCAAATATATGACAGCAGAAGCTATTTCAATATATTGTAAAAGAGAAAAGAAAACACCATTACACACTCTTGCTTATTATTTCTTATTATTATTTTGAATTAATCATTTTATTATTACAAACAATTGATTAATTTATGTAGAGATATAATTCCCACATAAATTATTGACCTATGATTCAAAACACGCCTTCAGAAAATTGTGACGTTCCGTAAAAAAAAAAGAAAAGTATTTCGCAATATATCACTGGTAATAGTTTCGCATTAAGTCATAATTACAGTATAGTACAAAATTTCTTATCAAGTTTCTAGGAATTATGTCTACTTAATGTCTACTAATTATGTGTTCAGCGAGGAACTAAAAGGTGTTACGTTTCAATTAAATATATTCTTAACTGTACGGCTTTGCTTTGGTAAGGTTTTTTAAATAAAGAATTTTAGTTCAGAACAACATCAAGAACTGAAGAGGTTACCGTATTACGATATACCGTAGCGTGTATTAATCCGGTATGAAGTGTTATGGCTATCCTCAACAAATATGTAGTGACAATTACTGAAGAAAATACTACAATTTATCAATTTGATTTGCTTGAATTATTTGAAAGACGACGTGTTAAAACATATATCAATATAACTTTTTATCAATTACATATATTCCCTTTTAAAACAATTGAACCTTTGCTTAAGTCATCCTATTTCTAATTTATTTCCTTCCTTATCTGTCTTTTCAATTTTTCATACAGAAAATCTGAGTATTTCATTAGATGAGTAAATCATATATTAATAGTAATTTTGTTATAATCATATGCATAATTGTATATAAACTCCATGACTCTCCATGACTTAAAGAACTAGTAGTAGAGAAAGAATGATGTAATATTCCGGTCATGCCATAAAAAATCGATGGGATATATCTTTGTATCCTGATTTAAAAAAATAAAGCGTCCTTAATTCTTAAACATACTTGCGAATATTTAGTTCTACTCCTCATTATTTGCAAATATGACAATTTATCAACTCACAGTATAACAATTCCACTTTATAAGAGCTCAGATTAAATATAATAAATATATAATAAAAACCATATACAATATATATAAATAAATAATATAGTGAAATAAAATCGTAAAAGAACTCAAAACCATATTTTTATGCATGATTTAAAACTATCGAAATTGGCTTATTAATTATTTAATTTTGTATATTCGTAATTAATTGTTTAAAATTGCTATTTATATACATAATTATGTATACATAACTACAAGCTATCTTTATTATTTATTACTTGGATTATTTTTGATTGTTCCTCATATAAAAACGGTATCGATATTTCATTATATTTGCAGAAATATCATCTTATTGGGTCACAACGCGAGGTGAGTTTCGGCGTTTCTATCGCGTTTAGCAAAACTCTACTTTATTTTCTATTTATAATATTTTTAATTCTATTTATGTTTAGTTTTAAAATTATTAACAATTAACAATTTACTAATAATAATAATAACAATAATAATAATAAATATTGTTTTACACCAAAAACTGCAAATTTTTTGTTTTGGAAGTTTCAATTTCTTGTTTGAATTTTTTTCTACTTTTTTTTGAATTAGTAGGTTAATACTTGTACATGTTTTTCTTCTTTTTTCTTTAAATATATATTTTAAACCTTAACTTTAGTTTAAAACCTTTTCAAAAGACTGTCTATTAAAATTTATTATTTACAGTGTATTTAAGAAAATAATGCTATTGTATTGCTTTGAAGAAATGTCCAAAATTACAGATTTGAAGCTGGGGAACAGAATTTTTTAGTACTTAAGATTAGACTTAATCACCTCTTCGGAGACGGGTTAACAAGTTATTACTAAAACCTGCTTGATTTTTTATTATTATTTTATAAGAATTTTTGCAATATTATCTGACACTATATTTATCCAAGGCAATAAAATGGCAGATAAACCTCCAAAAAGAGACGCGGCCTTAAAAATGATAGGCCCATAACCATTCTGTGGTCTAGCCAAAGAAACTGTATCTATTCTTATGAACGATGCAGAGGAAAAAGTAAGGCTAGCAAGACTTTTACAATCTAAAATGCTTTTAGTGGCTTACAACCTTAAACGCTTTAAAGATTGCATAGCACAATCAAAAAATAACCTAAGAATTATCACAGTGACCGGATTATTGACCAATCACTATCGATTGAATAATAACCTTTCGAAGTTAGGAATTCAATCCAACTCAGACTGCAGATACTGTAGAGAAGAGAGAAAAACTGCATGCCATGTGGTTGGCACTAATGCACAACGGAAGAAACACTTAAGAGAGTATTTCATGGATCATAAGGATTCAAGTCTAGGAAAGTTAGGCTCTATACTATCTTTCATTAAAGAAATCGGAGAAACACTGTTATCCGACTAAGGGACATAATATAACTTTTAGGTCGCAGTGCACGATCCTTTCTTTTAATAATAATAATATATACCTATGTTTATAAAATAATAGAAAGTAATATATACCATTTCGTAGTTCCAATAGTCATCAACGCATTTAGATTGAGATTTCAATTAATTTTGTATTTTAAAATTATTTGTTAGTTAAGACATGAAACAATATTTGATCGTTCCCCAGGGGTATTTTTCAGTACTAGATCATTTGGGATAATTTATGATGGCTTGAGAACACATAACTGGTGGCAACATATTGATAACACTTGATGGATGTTCATTTTTAAAGCACCCAAAGTTTGAAGTTTCTTCACATAAAACGATCTTTTGCGCAGTCTCACAAAAATTATTATTAAAAATGGAGCATGAATTCATGAAGCAGATCACGGAGTTATAGAAACAAGTTTAGAATAGAAAAATTCTGTTCCCTAATAATTAAAGAAATGTTCCTTACATTTAATGAAGATTAATACATTATTCTCAAAGAAGACACTGCAAATGAATTGCTTAAGTTTTGGTTAATATATTAAAATATCCATACTCCAATACTTTATTTAAAAAATACTAAGAAAACTACGAAAAAAAGTACTACGAACTCAATTACGCCTACAACTGCATTATCCTTTGCTGAATTGCAATGTGTCCTTTTTTTGATTAATTTCATTAATTAATTTGATTAATTTGAAGTTTCCTTACTTGAGTGCCATTACTGTTATTTTAAAACTGAAACTGAAACTAAAACTTAAATTTATTTTTTACATATTTGATTATAATAAATAAATTATTGTTTTTGTATTGTTTTATTGAAAAATATTTTAAATACTTTCTCGATTTATGCATAAAATATTGTTTGGTATGTAAATACTGTGTGTATGTGTGTATATGTTAACATATTGAAAATATATAGAAATATAAGTAAAAGTGACTTATCCCGAATAAATACAGACCATACTGCGGATATATTAACATATATTTCAATACAATATATCAGCTTATCTTGAA